GAAATGCGAAGGGGCAATGAGGTGGAGGGAGGACCAACCACTGAGTGGGGGATTTTTGGCCCTCCATGCCACTGGCTGCATACTGGGGGGGCTTTACATGCACATGCATACACATACAGGCGAACATGCAGGGGTCTCCTGGCTTACACTCGTTTCATTTGGAGTGAAGGGTGAAGGTTGAAGGGTGAGACAAGGGAGGGGGTATAGAGTGCAAAGACTAAACCCCAGCAGGACGCCAATCTTAACGGCTACTCTCTTTCTCCATAGGAGGATGGGGATTCGGTGGGGGGTAGGGAGGCTCAATCTGTGGCCCTGCTGGTCAACACGGGGAGTACGTTGCCCAGCTATCCATGACAACCAGAGCGAGAGACAGGAGAGGGAAAGTCGGAGAGTGCCCGGCTGGAGCGAAGACATGAGAACAAAGCATTGTGGGATTTTCATTTTCCACTCTTTGTTTGCTTTTTATTGTCCGCAGATGTGTCCCTCTCTGCTTTATTGAAAATACAGGACACACAAATGTGTGGGCATTAATGCACGCACACATGGCTAATGGAACTGTGTCTGTACAGTGAGTCGGATGGTCTTTTGTTCCACCGGGCCTTATTTTGATAGCTGAAAGAGGAAACTCGGATTTTAATGATTTTTAAACCTCATGACTGGTTACAGCTCTCATTTGACGCAGTCTGCACGACTCGCACATGGTGCTCATATAGTTTCTGCTCAGTCTAAATGAACCATCCTGGCAAAAACTGTCTGAGCACATAACTGTATTTTCACGTAAAAAGCATTCAAAAACAGTGTTTTAAAGGCTGCTACATTGCAAGAAGCAAGACATTTGTTCTCTCTCGCAGGGCTGTGACTTTGAGAGTTCTTGCAGCTCGTTCTCAACACGTCATCTGTGAAGAACTTTCTTTCCACTGTGGTGTTCAAGAACTAATGTGTAACTGGTCAGAAATCTGAACTCGGCACATAAATTTAAAGTGGGAATGTTTACTTCCCGGTTTTTCTGCTGGTGTAGAAATTTGTGCAAAAGATAGTTTTGAGCAACAGCTGACCGAGGCGGCGAGGAAATAAAAAAAAAATCTACAGAACATGTTTTTAAAGACATAAAAAGAAACAAAAATGGCTCATTCGTGGAAAGACAAAGCCCAAATGTGCACAGAGGAGAGAATTTGTATAAAAAAAATATGACGTTAGAGATTCACAATGACGTGATTTGACAAAAGAGTGGTGAGTCTGGCGGGCGGCGGTCAAGGTCTGATTATACTTCACAAAACTTTGAGACATCTGATCTTGCTGATGTGATTTGAGATGGTCTTCTTCACATAACCTGTTCATAATCAAAGAAAAACTGCAGGGGAGAAGTCCTGATGAAGTCCTCCCACTGCTGCACGCGTCACGTCAGAATCAACACAGACAGCGTGGTTTTCAGAGTGAATCTTTACTTTCCATTTAGGACAGAATAGGACAGGGGTTTGCAACCTTTGCAATAAAAAGAGCCATTTTTGCCACTTTGTTACTAATCACGATGTGTCCGGAGCCACAAAACCTGCTACAACTGTGTACTGTCAGCTGGTGGCCCATGGACCACAGCTTTGTTGGAAATGGCTTTTCCACCCGGTGGGGGTGATATTATTAAATTAAATAAGTCTTACTAATAATATTAACATTTACTGATTTTTTTTTTTTTTACATTTTAATACAAAGAAAAGGCCAGATTCATGTAAAGAAAGAAAAAATATATAATTTTTACCAATTTTATAAAAAATAAAACACTGAACTCTGCAGGTTTATGAGTTCTCTAAATATCCTACTTAAAGCATAAAGTTAAAGACCGTATGACATTTGACCAGTTTGTTGGACATCCTACAAACCGGATTCCAAAAAAGTTGGGACACTAAACAAATTGTGAATAAAAACTGAATGCAATGATGTGGAGGTGCCAACATCTAATATTTTATTCAGAATAGAACACAAATCACAGATCAAAAGTTTAAACTGAGAGAATGTATCATTTTAAGGGAAAAATCTGTTGTTTCCAAATTTCATGGCGTCAACAAATCCCAAAAAAGTTGGGACAAGTCCATTTTTACCACTGTGTGGCATCCCCCCTTCTTCTTACAACACTCAACAGACGTCTGGGGACAGAGGAGACCAGTTTCTCAAGTTTAGAAATAGGAATGCTCTCCCATTCATGTCTAATACAGGCCTCTAACCGTTCAATCGTCTTGGACCTTCTTTGTCGCACCTTCCTCTTTATGATGCACCAAATGTTCTCTATAGGTGAAAGATCTGGACTGCAGGCTGGCCATTTCAGTACCCGGATCCTTCTCCTACGTAGCCATGATGTTGTGATTGCTGCAGAATGTGGTCTGGCATTATCGTGTTGAAAAATGCAGGGTCTTCCCTGAAAGAGATGACGTCTAGATGGGAGCATATGTTGTTCTAGAACCTGAACATAGTTCTCTGCATTAATGGTGCCTTTCCAGACATGCAAGCTGCCCATGCCAC